GCATGCACGAGAGCGCACCAGCGCCATTTTGGCGGCGATCAGCAAAGTGCGCACGCGCAAACGCATCAGCGCCATTTTGTCATGGATCCCTAGCATATAGGCTGGATCTATTTAACCAGCCATATATAAAGACAAACAGAAACGGCTCAAAGGCATAGCTGAACACAGGAAAAAGAAGAAAAACGACTGCTGTTATGCATTCTTTCTAAATTGTAGTTAAAATGATCAATCTGGTAATACCTAAAATTTATTAATCCAGGAGCATATTAACAAAGCTGACAGCTGAAATATGTTCCAGTAAAGGAGCTTGTGATTATAAAAAATCTATATTACGTTAAAGACTCTACACTCCCATAAAATAATAATAAGGTTAAAAGATCCATGACACAAAGACGCCAGAGTGCATATGTCTCAGTCTCATATGACAACCATATGAACTTTGTGTAATAATCATTCTGATCCTAAATTAACATTATAGAATAAAATAGGCATAAAATCTGAAGTAGTAAAGATATAAATATACAAAGTAGCAAAATGGCCATGGGTGCTAAATTTGCGCCAAGCCTTGTTAACCTTTTCATGGCCTACTGGGAAGAAGATTTGATATATGCTAGAGAGTGGCCAGAACTATCATTATATAAAAGATATATGGATGACATTTTCCTAGTATGGAACGGCGATGAACAGTCACTGTGTAACTTTTTTACCACTCTGAATAATAATGATCGCAATATCAATCTAACATACACTTTTAACAAGACAGAAATCCATTTCTTAGACCTTACCCTGATGAACAGTAATGGAAAAATCACTACCCTTTTTTAAGTCAACCGATCGGAATAGTTATATCCCTACGGATAGCTGTCACCACCCTTTGTGGCTAGCTAACATTCAGAAGGGACAATTTACGAGGATCCGCAGAAATTGCACAAATATGAATGATTACCATCTGCAAGCTAATATCTTAAAGGGAAGATTTTTAGAAAAAGGCTACAAGGAAGCCACTCTAGATAGCATTATAAATGATGTGGGCATTTTGGATAGAGACCAAATGCTAATAGATACGACTAAAGCAACATCATCCCGAGTCCGCCCATTTATCACCACGTATTCAATACAACATAGGACTATAGGTGGTATCATCAAGAAAATTTGGGACATTTTAAAAGCAGATCCAGTGCTGAACAACATCTTACCTGAAAAACCGGAAATTATTTTCAGGAAGGCAACGGCCATAAGACATCATCTGGCGCCCAATATAGTAGACCCACCTAAGACGGTGTCGCTTTTCTCTAACCTAAGTGGCTTCCATCCTTGTAACAAGTGCATGATCTACACTTGTAATACAGATAGAAAAAGGAAAATAGACACATTCACCTCCAGTACCACAGGCAAATCGTATAAGATTAGGAATTTTATTTCTTGTAATAGTAGGTTTGTCGTATACATGCTTACTTGTCCGTGCAATAAACAGTATATCGGTAGGACAACAAGGAGGCTAAGGGATCGCCTCCGTGAGCATGTGTATAATGTGAAGCGTGGTTTTAAGGAACACTCCCTATCTAAGCACTTCAGACTCTACCACAATAGAGACCCCTCACTACTTAGATTTGTAGGGATTGATATAGTGACCCCACACTGGAGAGGGACCCGCAAGAAACGAGCTGTCTCCCAAATGGAGACCAAATGGGTCCATGAATTGGGCACTTTATACCCCAAGGGCCATAATATCGAAGTTGATCTTAACTGTTTCATTGACAATGTGGATCATCTGGAGCTGTGTCAATACCATGCCCCTTATGGACAAGAGCTCCCCCATGCTCCTTTTTATACACAGAGCTGAAGAAGGCATTTAATAAATTTGTCTTCTCTTTGTCCCCAGTCACCCACTCTAGATTATTTTGTAAAGGTCCTACATGCTCAGACCTGACATTTTTACTATTAATATATTTGAAGATATTTGGAGGTTTGTCCTGCTATCTTTTGCAATCTGTCGTTCATTTTCAATTTTTGCAGCCTTTATTTCCTTATTGCATATTCTGTTATATTCTTTGTAATATTTAAATGATGATTCATTTTTATATTTCATTTAAGCTCTTTTCTTATTATTTATAGCTTTTTTAACTTTGGCCATAAGCCACATGAGTTTGATTTTTAGCCTTTTAAACTTGTTGGCCATTGGAATATATTTTGCAGTGTATTCACATACAGTCTTTTTGAAGAACTCCCATTTCTGTGTTGTGTTCATCAAAGCCAATAGTCCCTCCCAGTCTAAGTCCTAAAGAGCAGCTCTCAGCCTTGGAAAATTAGCTCTCTTAAAGTTGAGTGTTTTTATTTTTTCTGTATGTGCTTGATGTTTACAGCTAACAATAAATGAAATCATGTTATGGTCACTACTACACAGATGTTCTTTTATATGGACATTCGTAATAAGCTCTGCATGGTTTGAGATTACCAGGTCCAGCAGAGCATCATTCTTAGTTGGGGCCTCTATTAACTGTACCATAAAATTGTCCTGTAGTAGGTTTATACAGTTTTGCCCTTTAACTGTTCCTGCAGTACCATTACTCCAGTCAATTTCCAGGTAGTTAAAATCCCCCATTATTATCACTGTCTCAGCCCTTGCAGCCCTTTCAATCTGTGCAAGGAGCTGACTTTCTACCTCCTCATTAACACTGGGAGGCCTAATTCCAATTATTACTTTTGTAGTACACACCTCCATGTGTAGTTCCACCCATAAAGCTTCAGCCTCATCACACTCTCCATCAACTAGGTCCTCTTTCACACTTGCTCTGAGATCACTTCACACATAGAAACAGACACCACCACCTTTCCTGTTTACCCTATCTCTCCGAAAGAGAACATAGCCAAGAATATTAATGGCCCAGTCATGTGAAGAATGAAGCCAAGATTGAGCAATACCAATTAAATCATAGTTCTGTTCATGCACCACAACTTCCAACTCACCTATTTTGCTTGGCAGACTTCTGGTATTGGTAAACAAACACATTATTTCATTGACACCTTGTGTACATGTATTTTGCATATTTTATATTTTCATACAAATGGTACCAATTCCAATGGTTGTTTGTAACATGGGAACCTTCTTATCATCTGTCATAGCCCTCCCCCCCATCTTTCCCCATTCCACCCACCAATAAGGACTGACCCCTGTCTGATCTGTCTGCCGCATTATAATCTAATTCTCCATCCCCCCTCAATCCTAGTTTAAATACTCCTCCAGCGTCCCCATAAACCTCTCCCCAGCACAGCAGACCACCTTTCATTTAGGTGCAAACCATCTCTAGCATATAGGTTGCACTCCAATGAAAAGAAAGCCCAGAGCTCTAGAAACCCAAATCCTTCCCTCTTACACCAGGTCTTCAGCCATGCATTTAGTTCTATAATCTCCCCCTGTCTTTCCTGAGTTGCGCATGGCACAGGTAATATTTCAGAGAATATTACCTTGGAGGGTCTTTCCTTCAACCTGCAGTCTAGTTCTTTAAATTGATTCTTAATTAGCCTCTACCTTCCGTGTATTCTGTCTTTGGTTCCAACATGAACTAAGACAGCTGGGTCATGCCCAGCCCCTCCCAGCAATGTATCAACCCGGTCCACCACATGCCAAACCTTGGCATCAGGGAGACAGCAAACCCTTCGGTTGACGAGATCCTGGCGACAAATTATTCAGTCTTTCTGATTATAGAGTCCCCTACTACCACCAAATGTCTAGGCCTTCCTGCACTACCCTCCCTACCCCTGGTCTGCCATCCCTGCTGTGAGGGATAGCAGTGACATCCAGGGCTGCCACCCCTGAGCTTACCACCCCCACATCTTCACCCAACTTGGCAAATCTGTTTGGGTGCACAAACCTGAGGCCTGCCTTCCTTTTCTGTGTGCCCCTACCACTCCCTTTCATTACAGTAACCTATATTCATACCTGATAATCTTGATTAGCCCTTCCACACTCCACATCAATCCCATTAGCTACCTGCTCAAGGTTGTCAATTCTGCCCAGTGTTGCAACTTGCTCCTCCAGATCTCTAACACGAGTTTCCAGAAGGACAACCCGCTCAGATCTGTTGCAGTGGTATCCATCCTGGAGCTGTTGCTCCATTGTTGCATACATGCAGCACACTTTGCACTGCACAAAACATTCAACCCTGCCAGCACTCATATCCCAGTTACAATATTAATATTACTAATAGGAAATATCAGTTGTCACTTACAGGTTTGTAGACTCATGTTAAAATCTCTGTTTTTAACTCTGGTTTTTTAACTCCACTTCATCAAATATCCACTTAGTCAAAGGTCCAGCAAGCAAAATACAGGCAAGCTCAAGAATGAGCAAGCTCAGAGTGAGCTCTACAGTAAGTTATATAGTACCCGTAGCACCTGTGACCAATTAACCCCTTCCCTTAATCAGCAGACTGAAGGAAGGCAAAGAAAGGAAGAAAAAATGCCATTTAATAAGTGACAGAAAATGTGATTTAAAAAAGTAAAAGCTCCGATTAAGACCCAAAGAAGAAAATAAAACAACTACAAGCACCAACAATCACCAGCAGTCAAAAGTAAAACTTTTTTTCACTGTCCACTCAAATTTCCCACACTTTTTAGCTATCAGCCAGCGAAAAGTTATAAAGATATGTCAAGCCATGTGCTTCTTGTCTCTGCAATGCAGCATGAGCTTGAGCAAGAAGCAGGAAGTGACATGATCTTAGGGCTCTAAGAGAATGCACCTGTTTAACCACTAGCCTACAGACCACTTATACCCCCTTCCTGCCCAGGCCAATTTCCAGCTTTCACCGCTGTCACACTTTGAATGACAATTGCGCGGTCATGCAACACTGTACCCATATGAAATTTTTATCATTATTTGGAGACAGATAGAGCTTTTTTTTGGTGGTATTTAATCACCTCTGGGATTTTTATTTTTTCTTAAACAAACCAAAAACCACTGAAAATTTTGAAAAAAAAAAAAACTTTTTTCTTAGTTTTTGTTATACAATTTTGTAAATATGTGATTTTTCTCCTTCACTGATGTGCGCTAATGAGGCTGCAGTGATGGGCACTGATAGGCTGCACTGATGGACACTGATAGGTGCCACTGATGGGCACTGATGAGGAGGCACTGGTAGGTTGCACTGATGGGCATTGACAGGCATCACTGATGGGCACTGAAAGGCAGCACTGATACATGACACTGATACATGACACTGATATATGGCACTGACTGACTGGCGGGCACTGACTAGGCGGCACTGACTGGCACTGATGCGCACTGATAGGCGACACTGACTGGCACTGATAGGTGGCACTGATTGGCAGCACTGATAGGTGGCACTGATTGGCATTGATAGGTGGCACTGACTGGCACTGATGGGTGACATTGAAAGGCAGCTCAGATGAGCACTGATATGTGGCATTGATGTGCACTGGTATGCACTGATATGTGGCATTGATGTGGCACTGATGGGCATTGGCACGTGGCACTGATGGGCACTGGCACGTGGCACTGATGAGCACTGACAGGTGGCACTTCTGGGGCCACACTGATCATCAGGGCACACTGATCATCAGTGCCTTGATGATCAGTGTACATGTCCCCTCCGCGGAAAGCCGATTACCGGCTCTCCTCTCCTCTCGAGCTGTCAGCGTGACAGCTCGAGAGGAGAGAAATGCCGATAACCAGCATTTCTGTGTTTATTGGACACAGCTGATCACATGACCGAGCTGACATCTTCGGCTCTTTCCGTGATCTACTGTGTCCGAGGGACACAGCACACTGGCGATCGCCGCGCTGCGCGCTCCCTGAGCTGCGCATGCGCAGTGAGAATGGTAGGACGTCATATGACGTCCTATCAGAATGAGAGAACCACCTTGCGCCCATCATTGTACTATAGGGCGGGCGGAAGGTGGTTAAGCTTGTCAGTATGTAAATAACCATACATTCATGCCTTCCTTGTGAGCGTCTGTGTGTCTGTATGTGTGTGAATGGTTCAATGTGTGTCTTCTTCATCTCTTAGGATGTCTTTTTATGCTATATGTAGACGTCATAATTCTCATAACTCAGAGCCTTGTATGGCAAACATTAATTCTGCTTAGTACAATGATTTCATAGAAGGGAGGGGATACTACATATATGGTCTTTTGATTGACAAGCCTACATGTAACACTCTATTCTTGATCTAAAACGTGACTTAACAAGTTAAAGATGACCACACTGCATCAGCTTACTCATGTGACCAAAGGATAGTATAACTAAGAATCTATCTTTACAACATAATATCTCAATAATGTTGTATAACCAAAAATTTACTTATGTAACACATATTACCAACTTATAAAACATAAATACACACAGATACTACTAGAATACACTATTTCATACACATTTCTCACTAACAGTATGTATATATTATTTCTCTTACATTGATTGATCTACTTTGGTTCACATCTGACTCCAATGATACCCTACATCAGAGATTCTCTAACCTGCTATGTCCATCTACAGAACTGATGAACAAAAGCAAACAAGGGCGCACTCTCATCGTGCATTACCGTGGTACACCACGTGTTTATTGTGTAGTCAAATAGATATATACTCACAAACCAAAGGAGAATAAAAGCAGAATAAGTAGTCCGCAATGGCAGTCAATACAATGCTGTGCCCTAATTAGGGATAAGCTGACACGTTTCGGGAGACGAACCCCTTCTTCAAAGATAATAAGCGTTATCTCTGAAGAAGGGGGTTCATCTCCCGAAACGTGTCAACTTATCCCTAATTAGGGCACAGCATTGTATTGACTGCCATTGCGGACTACTTATTCTTCTTTTATTCTCCTTTGGTTTGTGAGTATATATCTATTTGATTACACAATAAACACGTGGTGTACCACGATAATGCACAATGAGAGTGCGCCCTTGTTTGCTTTTGTTCATCAGTATCCAGATTTCCTGATCTTTGAAGGGCTGCACCTCTCTGTTTGGCATTTTGAATATCTTCTAGTCTGCATGAAGATTTGAGCGCTGGTTTCATTTGTTTGTTTTTGGATTCCATCTACAGATCTGTCCTAAATACTTACTTGTTATGCTGAGCGTCCAGATAGTTAACTTAACTCCAGAAGTACTCTAACATTTTTCTGGCTCGGCTATAACTGAAGAATTCAACACTATCACTTGCTCAAGGCCCACCACACATTGTAATATTAATTATGATTGATCATAAAAAACAGATATTTTGAAAGCTTGCCATAAATACAGTATATATAAGTCCTATACGTGCTGAATTATGAATTTAGAATGATAATCTAACACTGGTAGCAAGATTTCTGCACTCAGACAGGGTGTAAACAGACTACATTTCCCAGAAGAGCTGGCAAAGGGGCAGGAGTGTATATGTGAAGAGGCCCGGAATCTTTAAATTAAAGAAGTAGATGGTGAAAGTCGGAGGACGGGTGTGTGGAGAAGGCTGTGTGGAACTCAGGGGAGTTTGAAGGTCTAAGTAGATTGGTAATAAACATGACTGATAGTTAAATTTGGATAGATAGATAGATAGATAGATAGATAGATAGATAGATAGATAGATAATTTTATAGAGAGGTCAGGGAGGGATAGAGAGCCAAAGCATAGCTGCACATAGCTATAATCTTTCCTGCAACCTTTCCTTGTGGCTGTGTTAAGCCAGAAATGGAATACTCAAACAATTCTGCTGGATCCAGTCATAGCTAGTTTTAAGAGTTCTGGCAGGATTAATGGAGGAGAAGGAATAGGATGCATCAGCAATTCTAGCTTTTTTTCTGACAAACAATTTTGGTATTTTGAGCATACTAATTCTACCAGTCATGCCACTTGAATAAAGTAATTTTTTTCTTTTTGAATCAATACAAATCAAATAAAAGTGGAAAGAGGTGCTGGGAACGTCTCTTAAAACCCTGCAGGCTCAAAAATAACATGTGTAGCTTTAAAATATTGTTATTTGAAAGATTTGTGTGTTATCCATGCTGCCCTTAAACTCCACAAACAGGACCTTGTCCTCAACATTTTTTTTTTAATTTTTATGATTGGCATAGGCTTTCTATGACAGTGGACCAAGCTAAGGTCACAGATCGACAAAATCAAATCTGCAATCTTAAAGTGATAACAATGAACAAAATTCAATTACAATATTAGTATTCAGTCCCAACATGTGAATAATTTGTACAATGGTGCTGTATCTTTAACGGTGAACCTCCATGCTGAAATGACAAGTGCCTCACTGTGTTTTCACTGGTGCCCCACATAGATGTAAACTCACCGTCATTTCATGACCACCGATCTCTAAGTATGTCACACTTTTGGGACTATCCCAGTATGCAATCTGGCCCTCAAGGCCGATATTCCTTCACCCTCTGGTTGCTTTTAGTAACCAATAACTTTGCACTAGGACTACATCAATATTAGGAAACTCCTCTGCTCCACAGGCAGTATTTCATATTTTCAGCATAAATTAAACAAAACCAGACATCCCATAGTGTAAAACTGTATAGAACTTTAAAATGGGGTCAAACAATAGAAATGCCACTCACAAAAAAAGTGCCTTTCCTGACACTGGGTATATTCAGCTTTGTATATTATGATAGTAGGTATCATATATATAATTATTATATATTTAATTTTTTCCTAAGCGCAACAGCACTCCTTTTCTTTCAATATATTTCTATGACAGTGGCCAGCTTCCTGTGACTTTATTTGTTAGAAGTTTGCCTAATAGCTCTGAAAATGGCCAGAATCTACTATCAGGGTTTGCTCCCTATAATTGTAAATTGTACGCACTGCTAAATTTGGGTTTTATGAATTTCAAGTAAGATTCAATTTACCCCCCGCCAACTGGGAAAAAAAAAGGTAAATGGATACAGTGCTCCATAGGTAAAATAGTTTAACATCAGTTGCAGAAGGCAGCTGGCAGAAAGACATTTTTTGATTATATTAATTTGTAGACACACCAATTGTTCTGATTTATGGTTACCATCTGTATTTCACGGATGTTTGATCTGGCCTTAATTAATGAGTATAGTTAGCTGCTGCAACTTTAATTGTCCCTAAGTTTAGAAAAAAGGACAAGAGCCATTAGTGTTCATAGCTAAGTGTATTTTATACTTCAGGTAAAAATACATAAATGCTTTCAATAAAACACGGGGATGCAATGCTGTAGTCCTTCAAGAAGCATTGACTTATACAACTAGAACAATGACTCACACAGTTTAATAAAATATGAATACAAATGCCTTATGAGAAATATATCACAATAGTACTTGAACAGGTGCAGAGAGAAGAAAAGAAAAAAATATATTTTGAATCAGGATCATATCTGGGTCCAAAAGATAAAAAGAATGAAAATGACATTGGGTGATCAGCCACATTTAATATAAAAAAAAAAGACCCTATAGAGATGCATATGGTAATGTTTCGAAGGACAGCACCCCTTTTGTTAGACATTGCACATTGAATAGAAATAGAAATGTAAAAACAAATCTGCTGTTCTAAGAAGGTAAACATATAATATATAGTTAACTCAGGGAACTGATAAAATTATAAAATATAGAGCATCTATCTATACATGTACATATATTTTTTTAGGCACATTTCCAAAAGAATGGGAATGGGACTTAGATTTCTGTATCTTTAGGAGAACAAATCATGATAATTCACTGATTTTGTTATATAGCTACCTAGGTCAAAGAAGGGTAGCTTCGAATTGCTCTTACTCCATATACATTTGTGGTCCAAGGAGAAAATTCACTTATCTAATGAAAAAGGTGCTGCTGTGCTCACTTCAATCATCCGATCATGTTTTCTTTAGTACAGTAAGCCTTGCATATGGCTGGGTAATCTTTGTAAAGGGAATTTCCACTTTTAATAACCTCATTCACTAAAATAAGTGAAAATTCTTTTTGCACAGTGAAGACTCACTTTTATAGTGAGGATGCTCTGCTCCTTAAATCATTTCAAGTCTGGCCTATTGACAACTGATGGCCGGGCGGGGCATGCACCATTCCAGGTTGATGTCATATGACATCCTCCTTGAAATGTTCCTTGGCTGCTTCACACAGGCCAGGCTACGGTGCGAACTGTCAACCAATGTGTCCACTGAATGCAGCAGATGACCAATCAGTGTACTGGCTGCTACCAGAACCATGTGATCACTGTGACCAATCACAGCAGATCACATGACAATTGTACACAATGGATGGCATTCATTCATTCCATCCATTGTGTTGATCTCTGTGATTGGTTAGAGTGATCAAATAGTACAGACAAGGCCAATCACAGCCCATCTGTACCATGTGATTAGCTGTGACGGATCACAGCTAACCACAATAGTAAACACTGAATGAATCAGTTTTATTCAGTAAAAATGGTTGCTTATAACAATGAAATAACTGATCACTACCCCAGAATAGTACAGTGTTACTATGGTAACATTGTATTGCTCTAGTCACAGTATGTTAAAAAAAATTGTAAAAGAAAAAGAAATGTAATAAAAAAATAAAAATTTAATTAAAAATTAAAAAAAAATATTAATATTATTTTTTTTTTACATACTGTCACCAGTCAATGTCCCTGATCACCATCCAGCCAGTTATATGATGACATTGTACTGCACTGGTGATAGTATGTAAAAAAGAAAATTGTGAAAAAAACATTTTTTTAATTCCTTCACTTTCCAAAAGTTGTGAAACT